CCCGGCGCCGCGCCCCGCGCTGGGGCCGCCTGCAGCCCGGGAAGCCTTGAAGGTCGGCGTGGAAGCGGCTCAGCTCCCCTCGGCGCTCTGCTCTGCCGGCTCTTGCTGCGGCCCCAAAATGGCAATTTTCTATCCCCCTCAGAGCCACCATTCAGCTCCGGGCTTTGTTCACATCCCACCAAGGCGCTCTTCGGCTGAAGCTGTAGCTTATTAGCACGCGTAATGCAGGGCGGCTTGAAAACGTCTCATTGAAAATCGTTTTTACAAGGTGAAAAAAGGGGGAGTAGGACTGTCAAAGTAAGTGATTTCTTTTTCTGTTTTGGCAAAGAGGGTCTGTTTTCAGAGGAAAAAAAAAATAGGAAGAAGTGTTTTCGTCCAAAAGTTGAAAACGCTGAAGACCCAAATCTTTCCAGTCAAAAATAGCCAGTTCAGGCCAAAAAGCTTTCCTTTTCTTGTTGAAACTAGCGTTTAAAGAGAAAAGAGCTGAAGCTTTCTGTGGGAACCCCCAACAACTTCTAATCTGATTTTTGAATGTTTGTCTGATTTATTTAGCCATGTCTCAGGTTCAGGACTTATATCTTCCAGCACACAGCTGAGAGTTTGCAAAAAGGTTCATTTTAAGGAGTTGCTCTTATTTAAAACAACAGAGCATGAGGAAAACACGTGGAGAGGCGGGATGTTGCCTGCGCTGTGAGCTGCCCAGGCCACCCCAAGGGGTGCAAAGCCGGAAGGGAACGTGCTGGGCCTGGGAAGCAGCGTGACTGCCCACCTCGGCCCAAGGACCACTTCCAGCCAGCGCGGGCGCCCATCCGCGGGTTTCGAGAGGGCCAAGATTGAGGAGAAAGCGCAGCGACGTCCTGCAACGCCAGCGAACCCCTTGAGTCCAGGGTGCCCTTGGCTGCTTGCCTTCCATTGAAGAGAGTAGGGAAACCTCAGAAAATCCAGTTCACCGAGCGTAAAATGAAATCGCTTCCCTTTTTACTTTTAGCATCGCATCCAGAAGAGTAAATGGGTTTGCGTGTGGATGATAGGCTGTCCTCTCCTCCCTTTCCCTGGCAGCGCGGGGGCTGCGGGTGGAGGATAGCGCAAGATGCCCGCGTAGGTTTGGAGGAGGCGAGCGTTCCTTTTGCAGATGCCCAACTTTGCTCGTGTGCAACCTGGGAAAAGCAGGACATGCAGCTGGTGGCAGGGTTTAAGCAAGAGGCTCATCTGCTGCCCAGAATAATCCCCCTGGCCTGTTTGCACCTTTGTTTTTCTTCTCTTTCGTCTGAGCTTTCTTCGCCACCTCTTCGTTTCTCTTTGCCTGCTCACGCGTGCTCTGAATGCCTGCCCGACAACCGCGGGACGTTTGTGAGTGGTGCGCGTGTTTGTGTGAGGTGCTGTTAAGCTTCGACAGGCCAAATGATTTTGGGGTGAAATTTGAAAGTTGATTGTTTTGAGGTGCAGTGGCCAACCCTATACCTGGGATTTTTGTCCAAGTCTGCTTTTCTGTACATGCTAACCAAGTTAGCTATGGCTGTCAGAGCAGAGGGGAGCATAGTGTTATAAATGAGAAAATATCCCTTTAAAATATGAAAATATTTCGAAATTCATCCTCAGCAGTGAGGACCTTTTTAACTTGATGGCCTTCTCCTCACGAGGGGACTGGGGAGATAGAGGGGGAGGAGAGGGTAGGGAACGATGAGTAAGAAGAGCCACTGCAATGGTTTGGTTTTGGGGGGAAAAAGGAGTAGGAAGTTTGCAATAGAAATAGCTATGGAAACAGAAGAGGGAGGAAGGAATCGGAGGAGAAGGAGTCGCGCATGGTCTCGGCCTTCCCGCAGCCCCCCAGCCCGGCTACCTTTGCAAGCTTTCCTGTGGGAGATGGGCTTGGTCAGGTCCCGATAGAAACCCTCCTTGCAGTAGTGGCAGTGCCGCCCGGCAGTGTTGTGCCGGCAGTTCAGGCAGACGCCCCCGCTCTTGCGTCCCGACAGCTTGTAGAGCTCCATGTTAAAGCGGCATCTCCGGGCGTGAAGGTTGCAGTTGCAGGCTGTTGAGAAAGAGCAGAAATGGTGATCAGTGGCATCTGGAGGGGGATCATGGACATGCCTACACCAGCTCGGGTACGGGTCTGCATGCTAAACAGCATCATGCTGAAGAAGAGAGGCTGGTCATGCTCGAGTCCTGCCCTGAGACCACACGCTTGTGATGGAAATGTGAGGGTGTCAGAGGAGGGGATGCTGCAATGGCATTGCCAGCTATGGGAAGCCCTCTGCTAACCCCAGCCTTTCCAGGGAGATCGGCATGGCAGTGTCAACCTCGGCTTTTTGTAGAGGACGCTGAGGGTCTGAGAGCACTGAGACCTTGCAGTATTTCACCACTGTGACTTACAGCAGGGTTATAAAGCAGGAAATGCACCTTTTGCCTCTCCCCACTCTTAACGTGACTCAAAAGCTGGATCCTGATGGTGAGCTGGCCTCAAAGGAAGTGAGCTCCTCTATGGTTAGGAAATGGCCATGCAAAACGCCTTGGCCACACCAATTTTATCGCAAGTGCATTGCACTGTCTGAGCCTTGCTCCTCACCCTTCTGATTTGCTCTTGGAGTCCTGGTGCTTCCTATCTGTCTACTGTTCGGTGCAAAGCCCCCACAAACTCGCTGACAACCCCTGAGAAACATCCTGCTCACCAGCACCCGGGAGATCCCTACTCCCCCTGTGCTGTTAGAGGAACAGGAGTTTCCAAGCACCACCTGCCCATCTTTCCCAATATTTGCACTCGCACACAGTCCGGGCCCACATGGGTGTTTGAACTCTACATAGTGTTTCAAAATCTTCTGAGCTACTTTCTTCCCTTGCGTTTCTTTCTACTTTTCGTACCTGCAGCTTGAGGCTCTGTTACATTTCTGTGGCCCAGAACATGCCAATAAAACTTTGTCTGTCTGCATCAGCATCTCTTATCCTGTTGCTGGTACGGGGCCCGCCTGACGCCCAGTTAGTCAAATACCAAAAAGTCCCTCTCTGCTTTGATTGAATCTGCTGTGATTGAACCTGCCAGGAGATGTCCAGTTTCTCCACCTTATGCAGCCTAATGTCAACACAGGGACTATTTTAACAAGGGGCCTTTGCAAAAGAAAACTTAAGAACTTCAAAAGCTCGACCCCAGAGCTGTCAAGGGAACATCAAGAGGCAGTTGCTGAGGCTATGTGCTTTGCAGAGAATTTTATAGCTTGTTTTCCTTTCCCTTTGCTTTTATTTGCTCTTCACCCCCGAACAATACATCTGTGCAATGCCAGCCCACAGCTGGGCCTCTCAGCTCTGCACGAAGGTGTCACAGCTCTGGGCTTGTCACCTTCCTTTAGAGCAGAAACATCTTAATCCCTCATTCCTTCCTGTTTACCTTATGGTGCTTGCCCAAGACAAAGGCATGCTATATTTGCTTATTTATCAAATTTCAGCCCAGAAAATTACAATGCAGTTCCGGATTATTTATTGGGAACAATCCCCAAATAACTCTTGACATGCAACCAGAGTGTAGCTGGAGAGCAAAATCCTCTGGACACCTCCAAGCCAAGGAATGAAGAATGCTCTCTCTGCTTTTCCCCTTGCAATTTGATTTCTTTTGGCTAATGCAATGAGGCACAGCTTCACGTCCCGACCAGATCCAAACGTTTCCAGGGCAGGAGTTGCAATGACCAGCTTGCTGATAGTGAGAACAGCAGCCCCAGAGTGGTTTGTCACCCTGAGAAAGTGAGATTCCTGACACCAGCCAGGGACACAACTTTCATCTAAGGACCCATGAACAGGAGAACATGATCAAGGAGACTAGAGACTCAGCTCCTGCCTGCAGAGGGAATTGCTGCTTTTTATGTCTGGCCTGTCCCAAAGACACATTTACTGACGCTGCAAGTGCAGTCAAAGAGGCTGTTTGCATCTAAAAGAAACGCGGGGGCATGCACCGAGTGCTTTCTGCGTTCCCCCTTGTGGATTTTTCCCATTCCATCTTAATCTCAGGAAGAACTTTCTGTGCCTTTGCTAGGAGCACCCTACCAGCCACTCAGCTGTGGTATTCTCCTTTTCTTGTGGCTTGCTGAGCAGCCCGTGCCAGCATGATGTTTCTGCGGCACTAAGTGCTGCACAAATAGAGGGTTAGAGATGATTCTTGCCCTGCAGAACTTATGATCTAAGCTTTCAGGAAGGAAGTGGTGGTGTTTTTAAAGTACCAAGCCTCGTTTTACAGAAGAGAAATTGAGATGCTCAGATTAAACCACTGTCTTGGGGCATGCAGGAAGTATATGGCAGGAGTGAGAACTAAGGACTTAGTTCAGGCTAGTGCCTTCACTGCAAGCACGGGCCTGCTGAAAAAAGTTTAGCCCGGTCCTCCTGAAACAAGGACAGTGGCTGTGACATGGAGGCAGCAGCTCTGAAGTTCCTCTCAGCTGTAGCTAACCACCAAGGCAGCAACCTGCATCCACAGTGGCACCAGCTTTGGGACTCAGCTTGGGCAGACGAAGCAAAAGAATTCCCCGATTTGAGGGTCTGTCATCCAAGCTATAGATCACAAACTTTGCAGGCACATCTCCATTGTTCAAAGCTTTGAGACTCACTGGAAACTCTGTCTTCAGTGCTACAAGCCATAGGAACTGGTCCCAGTTGACCAATGTGAGGAGATATTTCTCCAGGGAGTTGCATGAGCTCATGGAAGACCTAATTCTTCCTTGAAGCTGGCAGAAATGCATGTTTTTCAATGTGCATGAAAGCGCGCCTCATTCTAGAACGTGTAATTTAGTGAGAGCTGAAGTTTGCGCTCAAGTATTTTGCAAGATTGTATTGGAAAGTCCCTTTTTAAAATTCAAAGCTTGGCCCACCCTAAAAGTGAAAATTTTTGCATTTCTTTTAGGTTCCTTGATAAGCAGAAACATTTTTGCAAAAATAGGAACCAGAACTCCCCTATTTTTCTCAAGATCTTTGCAAATATTTCAGGTGATCCTGCAGGGTCAGTGCTGCCATAGGAACGCAAAGGAATAAGCAGGGTGTGCAGAGCTGCTTACAGCCCAGCTCCTGGGCACAATGTCATTTTAAGCTGCCCTTCCAGGGACAAGAAAGTCCAGTGTTTGGAGGAGGTAAAGGGCTGTGCAAGAAGCTCAGGGAACTCCCCAAAACAGCCATCCCCATCTTCCTCCAGAGCAAATGACCTAAAGATCCCATACATCACCTGTGTACAAACCTTTCCAGGAGGGAAAGACACGGCAGCCCACCTCCATGCCCAGCATGGCATATGTGCTCTGGGTGACAGGTGCTCACAGAGCGGCATACAGCTCTCACTGCGCTGGGGCTCTTTTCCAGCCCACTTCCACCCTGAGTGGCTGGGGAAAAGGGCCCCCGGCATGACACCGGGGCTCCACTCCCCCTCCATTTCTCTGCAGTCTCACACCCCGTATACCTTGCCTCTGCATGAGTTCCCCGCGAGCACCGTGAGCAGCCAGGTAGTGATGGCCACCTTTCCGCTGTGATTTTTCAGACTATTTTTGGCTCTGGCAGCTTGGGCTTGGCTGTGTCCTTTCCTTCCCCTGCACTCCCAGGGCACTCACAAGCTTGCACTGGTTGTCCTCCCTCGCGACTGCCTGCTACAGCAGCACCTTTGCTGGCTCCTGCCAGCAGCAAGGACGTTTGCTGGGCACTGGACAGATGGAAATCTCCTCCTAACCCGAGGCACGCAAACGTTTTTCCATCTTCCTTCCCTTGTGAATGCACCCATTTGTGCAGACAGTGTGGGCCAAACTGACACACGGAGATTGGATTTAATCAAAATTATTGTTTCACATTCTACCCCTGAGTGCCTGAGCCCTGAATGCCCCGGCACTGGGTGCTGCCTGGCCATCAGCCAGGGCTAACAGGCAGTTAAAGTCCAACCTGATGTACTTAGTGGGAGCTCAGTGGGAGAGGCTTGGTCTGACTGAAGTAAAATAACCATCTTGTTTTCTTCTGACAATAGTGCATGGAGAAGGAATAATTAGGGCAATGCAATAAATGGCCCATTCAGGCATCAGAAAGATCCTTACTGGGGACAAGACTGTGATGCAGCCAGTCATCATGATGAGACCCGTCACACTAGTGCTACAGCTCAGCGAAGACAAGCGGTAGGAGCTCAGAGATGCTCAGGGCAGGCAATGTCTGGAATGCACTGGAGTCGGTAGTCAGGATTTCACAGATCTGGCAGCGTGTTGTGATGCCTGCTGCTGCCTCCAAGACCCAACCTCTGAATCCGTAAGAGGTCCTTGTGCACTGAGGGCTGTACTTGTGCTTTACCCAAGCATGTTTTGTGGAGTGGCACTGGGTGTGAGGCGCTCAGGAAATGCGGCTCCCGCCTGCCCTTTCCCTTGGCCTAGTGGTTAATCACCCACTGTGCTAAAGCATTTTGCCTTGTTTCTAACATGAATTGGCCTGGCTTTAATTTGCAGCCACTGCGTCATGTTTTGAATTTTCTTGCTACCCTAACTGGTTCTTCAGTAACCCATCTTTTCTTTCTATGAACGTCTTTGGTGGCTGTAATAAAATCACGTCCCAGTATCAATATTACTTATGCTCCTCATGCTGTCCTTTTCACCCGGTGGAGAAGATGCCTCTGCGCGGTCTGCAGACACACAGCAGATCTGACTGGCAGCAAAACGTTTGCCAGGTGCTGAGAACTCTCTGATGAAAGGTTTTGGCTCCAGTTCCTTTGCAATAAGCTTGGTGCTGCTGTCTCCTGCTCCTTTCTTTCTCTTATTTTGCCAAAGACCTCGCTAGCCTTTTGTTCACTGTTTTTATTGTGCACAGATGTACATACCTTCATCAAACAGTCTCTACCTGGGCTGCCAGGCTCTGATATGAACAACCAGATATCAGTTAAATGCAGATGTTCAGAAACATAGAGAAGGCTGGACCGGAAAAGAGGAGAGCTATGGTTTGGAGCCGATCACGGCAACATCTCCTCATTAAAAAATTGTTTTTGGTCTTGGTCAAATGAATTCATAGAAGAAGGTCAACACGGGTAGGATTTTCCATGGGAGA